ATCAAACATTTTTCTTAACAGTTTATAATTGTTTCATTAATAACAATGAGTTTTATTAAAGTTGTCAGTATATAATTTTTTATTAACCAGAGTAAAAACGGTTGTATATTTACAAAAAAAGAATGAATATTCAAAATTATGACAAATTGTTTAGTAACGTTTAAAATCGAGAGTCACTTCTGAACTGCAAAAAGAAAAACAGAAACTGATATTAGTTGATATTGATGATTTTTAATTTTGACTAGTAAGCAAATTACTTTAATTTATTTTATGCTTTCTTTTAACTAGTTATTCGAGGAGTATACAATTCTCAAGAAATGAATTAGAAAATAATCAAAATAAGCTTAAAAACACCGCTTTGATATTTAATGATTCCACTATTGGTTATAATATTGTCATTAATAAAAATTAAATAATATTGTCACCTCAAAATTAATTATATTTCTATACTATAAAGAATATATCACGTTCGCCTAATTTATAATGAAGTAATATAAATCTATGCTAAGTCTAAACAGCGCTGTTTTATAGCGCTGTTTATATAGCGCTGGTCATTGACGTTATCCATTACTTAAAAAAATCCTTAACATAATTTAACAAATTTTTTGAATTGTAATTTAACGTCAGTAATGACGGTAGTGACTATTTTAATAAATAGAAACTATTATATTTAATAGAGAGGTTTCGAAAAGTAGTGAACTACAACCATAAACAATTTTTTATATAATATAGATTTTTAATAACGTGGAGTGACATTAGCATGACTTTCTCTGTATTACACTCATAGATTAGGTTCTCTACTTATCTATGAAAAGAATAATATAAATAATGTCTACAACAAAATTAAAGTATTGAAATTTGGTTATTAAAAATAAATATATAATAATAAATGAATTCAATTATTCTATAGCTGGTTTATGATTTCGTTCTTCGACTTTTCACAGCAAATTAACAAAACTCTAAGTTTGAACATAAAAAATATACAAGTCGTCAAGTACGGCTTTGCGTCAGTTGACTTATGAGCACTGACTGTAAGCTTTAAATTTGACAGGGTACGAGCTCAACCCTTGTGTATTTGCAGTCTCAAAAAACATTATTTACTAATAATTAAATATAAGAAATAATTCTAAGACCAGTGATGATGGGTATTTGGCAATACTCAAAACAAGTATATGGTCAGTCAAATATTCAATTAAATAAAATAATATCAATAAAGTTTTAAAGGTATAAACTCGAAATGTCACAAAGCTCAAGTTTTCCAAATGAGAAAAAAAATCTATACAAAAACTCCGTATAAGAATTTTTAATGAAAAAAATCATTGAAAAGTAAAATGAATGAAAGAATTGGTAAGTAAGACTTCTTTTTTTTATAGAAGAAACTAAACGGATTCAATTAATCTGGTTATTAGTTTACAAATAGTACTACAAAGATTTTAAAAATCTTTTCTAATTTGTCGTTTAAAAATGATGTGTTAATATTGCTCCTTTTTTGATATAGTCAATCATAAACTATAACAAATTGCGCGTATAAACTGTTTTCTCATTTCTTAAAGTACGGTTTGCCCGAAAACTAAACCAAACTCACAGCGATGCTTGTAGGAAATGCAACGAGCCGAATGCAAAGGAAACTCTGGAGCATCTACTATGTAATTGGCCGGCTCTCTCGAGAACTCGACAAAAATACTTGGGGAGTCTTACTTGTTAGTTTTATAGGACTGGAGCACATACCTGAGGTTTCTGTTGGAATCCTGTTGGAAAAGTTGCTAATGAAACGCGCATCCTAAGTGATGCACACAATCGCTAAAATAAGACTCTGATCTGTTATCGCAATGGATTTTAATGGTCTAAGCGTGGCCTTTTTGGTCTGCCAGCACAATCTAATCAAATCTAAAGTACGGTTATCAGGACATCTTTACTGTTGTGTCTACTTGCGCTTCTAGAGTAAGGTTTTATCTAAAATTAAAAATTGATAAAAAGGAACTCATTTAAATTGCAACTATATATTTTGAAACACTCCTTGAAAATGTTTACATGGATCGCTATTGATCAACTTAGTAAAAGCGACAAGAAACAAGACATTTTCTTAAAATTTCGACAATTCCATTGCTAGATATTTTAACTATTGAATATTTTCGACAACTGTTTGACTTATTGACTTATCCAACAGCTATCCTTTAATTTTGTTTTATATTACATACATATACTATTTTTAAGTTTTAAATTGGAGATGAAATTAGTATTATTCAAACAAGTATTTAATCATTTGAAAATTTCTTCAAGATGTGAATATTCTCAGTATTTCTTTAATTAATACTAATTAAAAAGCACACTAAAAAAAGGTTAGTTGTCTTAGTTCACATATAACCTAGAACCTCGTCATTAGAGATTAAGGTTGTCAAAAATATTTATTATGACTACTTCTAATAAGATTTCAATTGGTACAATAGTTTACGTTAAAAGTCATACATCTTCACCTGTCATTTTGTTTATTACTTAGATTATGTAAAGAAAATCAAGCGGAAAAATTTAATTACCATAAAAGAAGAATCCTAAACACACCAAGTTGTATGATCAAAACTGCATGGAATGAATTTTTGTGTATCTTTTGGCGCGGAAACATGGAAATATCAACATCGCCACAAATGTTCAAAAAAATATATGATATGATGTTTACAGTTGTCTAGTAGTTCTGTGGTTCAGCATGGAGGTGTGGACAGAAGACTCAGTTTAATGAAGCCTGTGGAGTAATGTACACAAAACTAAAATTATAGACAACAACAACTGCAGTTGCCACACAAAAGTTGTTTATTTTGTGTCTACAACTAATTAGAAAATAAAAAAGTTTTAGAAATCAAATTTAGTAACTTCTAAAAATATCTGTAATCTTGTGGATTACAAGATTAAAATACAAAATAAATGTTTAACCAAAACCAGATCAAAATATCTTTAAGAGGCTGCACAAATAGTAAACTCTGCTTTCAATATATATTGTAATAGGTTATTTCGTATTTATCTTCAAATCTAAAGAATAAAAAAAATGAAGAAAACATTTTATTTTCTAGGAAAATTGTTCAATTGATTTTTTGCTTCTAAAGATAATTTATTCAACTTTTGAAATGCTAAAGGTCAATATAAAACCTAAGTGTTATTAGAAACAGAAATGTAAACAAAATTTATTTCATTTATCAAATTAGTTTTGAAGAAAGCAATATTAGTACATTGTGTAACTTCTGATAATAATATACATAATTGGTACTCCTAATGAAATTCCATTAAAATCTATATAATATAATATCTATATAATTTACAATCAGTACCATACTTTAAAAGATACTGTGATTGTATTAAAAAATAAAAAAAATTTTGTTCGACAGGTAGATATCAGAAATTTGAAGAAATCAAGAAGTTGGGTCTTAATTGTAATTCTACTAAAAATTATACCAAGACTTCAATTCATTTTATTACTTTACTTACTTTTATTAATTACCAATATAGCTTTGCTCTCAATTGTATTTTTTTATAATTGCAAAATGATAATATTCTGTTAAATGGATATATAACTAACGCTAGAATCTTATAAATATTTCTTTTAATTTACTTTAACATGTGACACTTAAGGTAATGAGCTGGTTTGGCATTTCAATTTAAAGGTAGTTCTCCTTAGTAAAACACAGGTGATATTGCTAGCAAATTACTTCCCGTATCGTGGGGCTGTCTGAGATGACATAATGCCATCTTTGTCTAGAAGGAGATAACACTATTCATTAAGTTTAAACCTGATCCAAAACAAGAATACTGGGCTGAGAGATTAGGAAATTAGGATTAGGAAATTTATTTATATTTTTCTGCCAACTTTGGTTGGGATTAATCGATAATATAAAAGTTTGCTTTGGTAGCAGTGTTCTGTTCCACTAACAATTCAGAACCGTGTTAACTTCTAAATTTAAGTCTCAACATATATATAACTACCGTATTAAATTATCTATAACAGTATTGTCTAAGCTTGTATGAAATCCTAAGGAATTTATCTAGAAATGTCGTGATAAATAATGTATAACCTCTACATTAATACATAATTTTAAAAACATCTATAGATTTCAGATTTAATCTAAAATAAATGATATTAGTCTTATATTTTTCACTTTATTATTTTGAAAATATAAAAATTATTTCTTCTAGTAAATAGTGAATAAAATATATAGTAAGAGTGAATAATATAGTAAGAAGTTGAGACGAAGAAACAAAATTGGAGTAAATGTGGTTATTAAACTGGAAGAAATTAATTAACACTCAATTAGCTATAATGAAACATAATCTAATCATTATAGAAAAAGTGACTTATATAGATAAATATTTGTTTCTATATTTAGTTGGCAAGCTTAAGTGTGTTAAACATATTTATGTTAAACATATATAATACACATGTTTGTATAAACTCAGTTAATAAAATTCAAATCAAGCGCCATAGTATATTACATATGTATTTACCGTTACTTAAAATCCAAAAATTCGTTGTCAATAGAATACAATAAACTAATATCGAAGATAGACAATTAATTCTGATAGATTATATTAGACTATACTGAAAAGTTGTCGGGATTCAAATTTTGACTTTGATTATAATTTATAATCTCTTTAAGTTCTTTATATAAATGCAGGTCAAATTTTTCTTAATAATTATATGCTGAAAGAATATTCAATTTTTATTTATTTAAAAATTTCGATACAGATAACAACTAATTAATATTCTGAAATTTTTGAAGGAATTCTCTTATATTCTGCCATATTATTATTTCAGCCATCCCACTTTTAATAATTTATTTAATAATTAAAAGTGTAAATTATATCAACTGCCATAAGAGGATATTTTAAGAAACTTTGATCATATTTTAAACTAATTAATCTTACTAATGTAGAAGACAACATTTCGTATCTTATACGGAAATATTATTATCTCCTATTTAAATATTAATTTATTTTTACATTACAATTTTTTACAGTCTCGGAGTGTTAATCAGCAAAGCGAACTAAACAATTCTAATGAGAATGCCGACTCCGCTATGACGAATGGAAATGGGGAACATGTTTGGCTGGTACATCGAGGTGGTTTCTGTGCAGCTTTACGTTTACCACAAACTAAAGCCCACATGGAAAATCATAAGGTGATTGTGCAATTGTTGCACAACGGCGAGGAAATGACCGTCGATGAGGATGATATCGAAAAGCAGAATTTAGCCACATTAGACCTGATTGAAGACATATGCGAATTGAAACATTTAAATGAGGCGTCTGTTTTACACTGTCTTCGTCAGCGTTTCGCTAGCAATCTAATACATACAAAAGCTGGGCCAACATTAATGGTGGTTAATCCAATGGCACCATTATCGCTCTACTCGGAAAAGGTACGTAAAAAAAGTGATTTGTTTTTTATATAATTCAGTACAGAAAATGAAAAAAGTCTTACGCCTTTTGACATTCGCAGGTTGTTTCAATGTTTCGCGGTTGTAAAACTGAGGATATGCCTCCGCATATCTACTCTTTGGCGCAAACGGCCTACAGAAGCATGTTGGAGACACGTCGTGATCAAAGTCTTATATTTATGGGACGTTCTGGTTCGGGCAAGACGACAAGTTTTAAACACGCTCTCTACTATTTGGCGTTGGCAGCTGGTATGTCGGACTGTTTTTGGGGTTAATTAAGTGCAAAAATTCAAAGTTATGTGGTGAGGTATTGAGTCATACATTAAATGCACAAGTGTGTTGCTCTGTGCGTGGTTGCTTGCAATTTCTGTAATTGCTTGGGCTGAGCGTTTTCAGATATATCGTTTATTTTCTTGTATATTTAATTTACAAATTATTTTCAAATTGTTATTAAATTTACAATAGTTTATTACTTGGCTTTAATATAGTTAAAAATAACGGGCATTTGACATATGAACATGTTATAAAATTTTTATTTTATTATGAATCAAAAAGAACGTGTAGGTTCTCTGCTATTGTAACTCAGAGTTAAATACTTTTGAATTATTTACTTTATCGTGGGCTTATTTAAGTGTATAATTCCTCAATCAATATGACAATTTTATTGCCATACAATCAAGATAAAAGGGAAATAGTTTACATTAATTTACACTGACGTCTCAATTTACACAGTGAATTTATGTTTTTTACCTATTTGATTTATAGGTTCCTATAACAACTTTTTAAATGCGGAGAAAGTGAATGCAATTAATGTTGTAATCGAAGCATTTGGCAATACTAAAACAGTGTTGAACTCAAATGCGACACGTTTAACACAACTTTTAAGCCTAGACTTTGATCAAACAGGCCAAATTGCTTCCGCTTCAGTACAGGTAAGTTTATAAAGTAAAATTGTATTTTTATTTAGTTGAATTGAACTAAATGGGAATCAGGGACTATTATATATAGTCTTATGATCTTATTTAGTTTTAAAAGGAGGGCTTTCTATTTGAAGTCATATTGTATCTAGAAATGAGATACTTTTATTAACCCATTAAAAATTTTTATTAAAATATATTAATTTATATTAAAATTACAAAAGTTAAAAAGGTGCTACATAATTTAAGATTAGATTAAATTTATTTTTAATTTTTTATTATATGAATTAACGTATCAACTAGTATTGAGTTAAGACTCCTATATATTTGAATCGACTTTTAAAAAATGCGTGCCTTTTAAGTTTGCAATCTTTCTGTACAACTAGTAGTTGTAGCGCTCCTAGTATTTATTCAAAAATGGTGTATAATGGTTTATGCAAAAATACAAATCTGTCCGAAATCATAGATGATTTTGGGTACTATTCCAGTGGCTGACATTATTACAAGTAGCGTAACCACTCGCTGAACTATAAAAATTTCCAAGAAATATTTGAATAAATTGACCGTCAAGCTTATTTTGTGAAATTTGCTTAACCGTATAGTCCAGTGATGGCTAACCTACGGTACGCGTGCAACAAGTAACACGTATGTTAATGTTCTGCGGCACACAAAGCATTTTAACATAGTATTATAATCGTAGGTATATACGGCTGCATGACAAGTATGATCAAAATTCTAAGGACATGTTTTATTTTGTGCTTTTTAAAACAAACAGAATACAGGGATAATACATAGGATCAAAAATACAAGTTCTTTATTTTTATTTAAATTATTTACGGCGCAATTTATAAATCATCTATTTTTATATAGAGAAAATGTTCTATAGTAAAAAAAAAATTTTTATTTTGAATTACTTTTATTCTAACCATTCGTTTTAGTAAACGTATACCAGAAATATTTTGTATAACAGTAATCTTAAAATATGAAATAAAAAAAAACAATTTGTCATGAATAGTTAGGATTATTCGAAACTCTATGGTTCGCCCAAAAATTGACTTGATGAAAAATAAATTTTTGTAGTTAAACTTTTTTAAGCAGCTATGTTGATTTAGTACCAAGATATAGGCTTGCTTAAAGCTTAATATTATAAAATTTTATTACTTAGCAAGCGCTCACAAAAAGTTTTGCCACCGTTAAAATAACAAAAACGTTAGAAATTACGTCCGTTATAGTTCTGATACTGAATCATATCTATTCATAGGTTTAAATATTAATAAATTATATACCTTCATTGCGTTAATAAATAAATATTTGTTTCGCATTATTTCAACTAGAAGATATGCGATCGTTTTGTTTCGGTAAAAAGATTTATTAGAACATACTCATTTTAAAGAGAAATGTACATCAAAAATTACTATCAACGCCACCATTTGTTTTCCAGTTAACTTACTGGAACATGTTCACATTACAGTGTTTTTGAGAATTTAAATATGTCTATTTTAAGTATAGTTCCGATAGGCAGGGCTTCAAAATTATATTCTCCATGACAGTTATGAGTAGTCTTTCATTTTCATCGAAATCATAATTACATTATTATTATTATTAATTTATAACTACAATTTTATATTGATTGTTTAAATCAAACAACATTTTATGTTTAGCAAAATATAGTTCCACAATATATTATCGTTTTTTTCCCAATCAAAAAGAAAAAAATCTATTTGATTAGATTATTTTTACTCCTATTTTTTATTATTGGCCGAATTCGTCAATAAGGGGCCCAACCCGGTTCCTTATTCCCTGAAACTTAACGTTTCAGATATAGTCTTTCAATCAACAGAAACTGCATTATATTTTAATACTAAGTTTTAATAATAATAATAAATTAATTTTAAAAATAATAGTAAAATAGAATAAATACATTAATTTTGAGTAATAACGCTTTGTCCAAATAATGTTCTATAATCTATGAAAAATTATAAGTTAAAGAATTACATTATTGTATACATGATTATACATTATTGTAAAATTTTTTAAATTTATTTTTTGTTTTAATTATTTATAGTAGTTGCAATTTAACACAGACTATAACAAATGAATATTCACTTTGTATATTTTGTTTAGCTATTGAAACTTATATGAGTTATATGAATTGTACTAAGTTAATGTAATTCTACAGATTTTATTACCAGAACGACAACGGGCTGGACGACGTTTACCCAATGAACATAGTTTTCATATAATGACTCGTTTACTAGCTGGTGCTGAAGGTTTGTTACAAAAGGAACTACATTTAGATAATATATCTTCTGAAGACAATCATCCATTTGTGTCGTTATCACAAAAACTTGACGAGCGACACCGTGCAGCAGCTGAATTTATGCGAACAGGCCAAGCTTTTGAGACGCTAAATATTGATTCTAAGGCAGTACGAGGTGTTTGGAGTATATTGGCAGCTATATACCATTTGGGACTGGCAGGGGTGACGAAACGTATGTTTATAAAATTTTTTTAAACACAAACTGTTTTTAGAAATGTTTGCATTTTATGCTACAAATGTTCTTTACATAATTATTAATATTTAAAGCTTAGAAAAAGAAAAAAATATATATATAAAAAAATATGTAGACTATTTTTGTACATAAATGAAATGTTTTTTATACCAATCATTTCTTATAGTTGGTACAGGTACTAATGCTCGCACCCAATTTGCAAATCCCTCAGCAGCACGTAGAGCTGCAGGTTTATTGGGTGTATCAATGGAAGATTTAACATCGGCAGCTTTTAATTTAAACAATACTACAAGTAGTAATACTAGTCCTTCAAAATCTCCTACAGACAACAATGAACAAGCTTGGGAATGTCTTGAGAGTTTAGCTATTGGTCTCTATTCAGAAGCACTAGCAGCTGTAATTGCGCTTGTTAACAAAGCTATATGTACCTCAGCGCATACAATTGCTTCCATAATGTTAGTTGATACACCAGGTTTTCAAAACCCAGCAAGTTGTGGTTTACAGTCAGGTGCGACATTATCTGATTTACGTCACAATTATTTACAAGAACGTCTGCAATTACTCTTTCATCATACAACATTGGTAGCGCCTAGAGATCGCTATGCACAAGAACTTGTTGAAATAGATACAGAAGGAATGCCAGAATCAAATCCTGGTCCACTAGTATCACTTATTGATAAAGCGCCGCAGAACCATGTTGTGCGCTCATCACAACGTGATTTACGGGAACATGATAGACGCGGTTTATTATGGTAAGTAACAATTTAATACATTTATTTGGTTTCATATATTTTGAAGATTTGTTTTTTCTTTTTGTTAGGTTACTCGATGAAGAGTCTATGTATCCTAATTCCAACGATGACACATTCCTCGAACGTCTTTTTTCCCATTATGGCGATCGCGAACACCAATGTATTTTACGTAAATGTACAGGACCAAAACAATTTGTATTGCAACATTTGCAGGGTACCAATCCTGTATTATATACAGTTAATGGCTGGGTACGTAATAGTCGTGAACATCCATCGATTCGTAATGCTGTATCATTGTTGCAAGATAGCTCAAGAGAAGAAATTAGTCGTCTTTATATTGGTTCATTGACTCGCGGTGCTGGTGGTACGGTATTTTGTGGTTCATTTGCAGGACTTGAAGGTACTCAATCACTGAGACGTGTATCAAGTATACGACGTTCATTTACTTCGGCTGGTGTCAAACGTAATTCCATTATGTTACAAGTTAAATTTACGGTGGATGGCATTATTGATACTTTGAGACGTACCGGTACACACTTTGTGCACTGCTATCTATTGCAACACAATGCAGGGCAACACAATAGCTATTCAGTTAGTGGTTCACCTAATACTACGGTACAACAAATGAATTGTGAAGAAATAGTAAATATACCGTTAGTGCGAAGCCAGGTGTGTATAAGTGGTTTTAAAAAAAACTTTATTACAATATTAATTATTTTCACTACATAGATTTTCAGGCTATTTGCCAATATTTGTAAAAAATAAAATTAAAAAATTAAGCCTATTTAACACATAAAAAACATTTTCATATAAAAGTTATTGATAGTAATTAAATTCTACATATGATTTTTTTTTTTACTTTTATTATATTTATTATTAGTATATAAAGCTCTTAGAAAGTTACTATGTATTACATTTTGTATAATTATAATAACATCCTTTTAGATAAATACATTTTTAAAAGTAGTTCAATTATTTTTGTTAGGTACGTGGTTCTCAAATACTTGAAGCAGCACGTCTTCATCGCTTAGGTTTTCCTGAATCAGTTCCTTTAGCAGAATTTGTACGTCGTTTTGGGTTACTCGCAGGAGATGCTCAAAGTAAAGATATCACTGTAGAACAAATTTTAGCAGCTAATGAAATCGATACAGCAATATATCGTATTGGACCTAGTCAAGTAAGTGCTTAATTCAATTTTATATAATTAAATACAAACAGGTCTAAACGTGAGATAAAGGTCTAGATATATCGGGTGTTTTTTTAGCTGCATGAGAACTTGAAATGATAATACAAGACAGATTGGAAAGAAAAATTTTTCTATTATGGTCTGGTAGATAATATCACAATATTTATTTTTTGAATATGATTTCCGGTATATATCCGTCGTGGCTACAAATTACATGATCCATTCGATTAGTACAATTTTTGCCCATTTTTTGCAATAAATGTGGCCGTATGGCGTCAATTATGGCATGAACATTGGCTTCCAATGCTTCAAGAGTTGATGGTTTACTAAACAGAAATATCAAAATAGTTTGACAATCTCATCTGGCAATCAATGGTTATGGATAGTTCTTATGTAGCTAAAAAAAACATCCGATATATGGTAAGGATCCATGTAATAAAATTCCGAACAATTTTAAATAAAAACCTGATTTAAAAAAATGTGTAAGTAAAAACTAAATTTATTATTAAACATTATAAAACACTGTTAGATTAAAAAGATTCTATCAATAAGATTGCTAATCTTACAAAAAAAGTAATAGATTTTTGTAATTTGCATTCTGTGTGTTATGCAGAAAATAAAACAAAGTGCTTAAAAGTGTTTCAACCAAGATTTATGACTCCTATTGCATATTATTGCATATTTTACGTTTAGTTTTTAGGCTCTTATTGCTGCATAGATAACCTTAAAAAAATACTTGAAATACATCTTATGCATATTGATAATGACCTTCACTTTATAAACAACCATTAATATTAACAAAGAAATAAAATAAAATGCAATCTTCTTAAAACATATAAGTAAAGACTTGCGCATGTAAGTAAATAAATCTTAAACATCAAAAGTAGATAAAATATGGTAATCTTCGCAATGATTATTTGTTGTAAAATTTTAATCGTTGTGGTGTATTCACACACAAATATTTTGTATACATTTAACTTCAGACTTTTACGAAAATATTTTAATACAATAAAAAAAAACGTGAACTCTAATTCTAATTCAGATAATCAATTACTTCTTTGGAATGTTTTTCGATGGATTGTATATGCATTAGCTTGTCCATGCTTTTTCATACTGTTTCAATCTCCTTTTAATTGGAGTCCATAAATTTTCTATGAATTTTAGAACAATGCGCTTGTTTTTTTTCCTGAATATTGTTCAGCTGCTAACAGTATGTTTGCCGTCATAGTGGAATATATCTTTTTCTTCAAAACATGGAACTCTGTCAACTAAATTCTGGCAGTTTAATTTTCAGTAAAATGAAGCAACTCCATATAACATCAACCTTCCTCAACCGTGTTTGACGGTTCGTTTTACTTGGCACCCTTGAAGTGGTTCGTGGGAACAATGTCACTAGAATTTTTTGTCATCGGACTTACCAATTTGATCAAATATCTTATTTCCAGTTATATACGCCCCAATTTTTATAGGTATTGCAAAAATTGACAGTTTTTTCGTAAAGAATCGGTTATTTCTTTTTGATAGCAGACATTAAACCAATTATTTTTAACGATCTCAGCACTCAACTTACTAACTACTACTTCTTTATTGTTGCTATAGCCTCTTTTGGTGTTCGCATTTAATTTTGCATTATTTCCCTCATCCTTCCCTTATGTCAATATCTGAATCATTAAGTAACCTAAGACAGCCTCTAGCATTTTATTTGTGTACAAAGTTTCGTCATTTTTGAACGACAATAACTGTTGACTAAATATAATCTCTTTTGTTCTTTTTCTCAAAAACTAACAAATTTTCGTCATTTTTACCATATTCTCCTAAACGCAGTATACTCCACTTGCTTCTATAGCACACTTTCATCAAATAAAAATAATAAATCACAATTTCTATATGCTATATATATATATAACGCTTAATTTGAAATTTATGCTATTCGGCAAACTTTGGTGTTTGCTTTTATTACAATAGATGGCATTGAAACGACCAAAACTAAGTTCATTAAGTTAGTTTAAATTTTGTTATTATTTTTAATGTTGATAAATATTGTTTAATTTTTATAAAATGAACGAAGTATAAACATCAAAATTTTCATTTCATTTCATTGTATTTAACAAATTTATAGCATGAAATGTGCTATAATACGAAGCCAGCACTCACTTTTGCTCACCAGTGTACATGTATATTAAAATATATTTATGTACATATGTACATATTTAGTTTTTAATAAAAGTATGCAATATATAAAATATTTAAAATACATATTTTATTACAAATTTGTTATAATTTAAATCAGTATCAAATTAACTAAATAGCATTATTATGCTTCTACCTAAATATATTTAAAAGCAACATTAACATAGCACTGTATCTAAATTTATGTTATTGATACAATCTAAAGATTTTTAAAAAGGATACAAATTTTGTAATCTAACACATCTTTTATCTGTAAATAAGAATTCTAACTAGTTTTTGATCTGAATTACCTTTTTAGTGTAAAATTACGAAAACCGCAGTTTCTTATATTGTCAGTTGTCAGTTTCATTGTCACGATTTAAATTGTATTATAATTTATATTGAAGATAGTTCAGGATTGTAAATAATTTATATTATATAAAGAAAAGACTTTAGACTTGGTTGTTACGAAAAACAGTGTCCTAGTTGTAGTCTGACTATCATATAATTAAGTTAAAATATTTACTGCATATTATTTGTAAAAAATATCCGTGATTTTACTTTAACGGTATTTTTTACGTTTTATTATTTTCGTAGAGTAGTTCTAAAGTTTGCTGATTTGTTTGCAAAATATGTTGGTAAATATGTTGCTTTTTATGAAGTTTAGCTCCATAAAAGTTCGAGAAATCATGTGTTCAATGACCTGTTTTCTGTGCCCTTTCTGGACAAAATTAATTTTTTAAGCATCGCATTTCATACCTAAAATAGCAGTTAGGAATGGCTTCAATGATATGTCCATCTCTTGAATCAACCAACTTAGTTATATTTATGCGATGATTCTCAAGGATCAGCTTTTTGATTTTTTCAATTTTTTCGTTATTCTAAGCCACATTTAAATGCTTTGTTCTATTTATATAATTTTTTATCGTTGCTTTGGCACATAATATATAAAACTAAAAAATTAAATACAAACTCTTTAACTAATTTTTCTTTTATGAACTTCGCAGAACACTCCATAGTATAAATGCAAAATTAACTCATAAATATATTGTATATCACTTTTTGCATAAATTTCGGTTAATAACGCAGTATACTGCTATTGCTTTTTTTTACTATTGCTTTTAAAATTATGATTTCCGGATACTTTTCATACAGTATGTATAACTTTTTTTCTGGTTGAAATATGCACATTTTCGAATTAGATATATTTAATCTATACAAATAATCATCTATAAATTTAAGAGCTTATACTCTATCAACAAGCCATCCGAAAATCACTCTAAATTATTGGCATATTTTACAGGTGTTCACTTTCTTAGATTTTCAGTAAAATCATTAAGTTTGCTTTAGGTATTCAAGTTTTACTATCAATTATTATTAGTCAGAACATTTTCGATCCGGAAGAGAAGCATCTTATTTTCTTAACTTAATTATGCAAAAATTTAGTTCTAATCAACAATTATTTTTTTAGCAACATTGTGTAAATTATTTTGAACAAATTCGTTAAAAATATAAATATATTTCAATATATCACAACTTGTACATATTTAAGTGCTAAGTAATCAAATAAAATTTTTTATGCACACACACACACACATTAACTTAAAAGTAGAAAAATTTAATTTGAATAAATACCAAAAAAATGTAACTATGATACAAAATAAATTTTATCAATAACTCGTTGCGATAAAAAGCTGCTTTTCAAAAAATTCGGATTAATTGCTGGTCGCATATGTACCAATCTGCCAAATCCATATGGCGACCTAGTTTGTGTACTCAAGTAGTAAACACCACTCTTTGGTACGGCTGGTTCACCACCCATAAATGTAACAGCATTGCACACATCAACTGCAGCGCCATGTTCACAACTACAATTGTACTTTCCATCGATGTTGTTGTTAATGTTGTTGCTGTCACTATTGCTGGTGCTACTGCTGCTGATGTCGCTGTCGCTATAGATATTGCTGTAGTTATTGTTTTTAAATGCGTTGCATTTAACTGCACCAAACATCTTAGAATTTCTTACAGATTCTGCAAAGTAATACAAGGCCGCGAAGTGATCACAAGAAAAATCAAATTCTGCAGAGGTCGCGTTTGGACATTGTGGTTGCCCTAGACCCCAATTTGGATAAAACGATGCTTGACTAAGTTCAGTGTTCGGATTACCAAGTAAAGTAATGTCCGAGTGTATGGATTCAACATAAAGTGCATCAGTAGATGCTAAACGATATTTTTCACTTAAACTAAGTTGTGTTAAACCAGCTGGGTCTAAAGCAAATATAGCGCCAAAACGATTTGGTTTGATTAATTTTCCAGCCAATCCAGAAAAATGACTACCAGCACTGTGTCCAATCAGATAAATATTTTCATATGCGACACCTGTTTCACGGTGTAGAAAATTAACAAACTTTACAAAATTTGCAGCAATTGAAGATAATTGTTTAGATATTCTTGCATAATTAATGTCATTAGCATGCGCACTCCAATCAACAATGATTACATTAAAATTCCCACGCGCTAAATAGGCATCCTTAATGGCAGCATTAGAGCAAGACATACCTTTACCAGCCCAACCGTGTATAGAGAACCTATAAGTACGCAATTGACTTCAGTTGTAATATAGTTTTTAAATATTATTTATGAAAGTATTACCTTACAGGCCATTTAGGATTAAAGAAAGATCTTTTTAAGCCTGCAACATCGCCGGTGCGTAATATTTGTCGTTCATAGGGATTATATGGCGTATACAGATCATATCTTATACGTTTGTTAGTTCCGTAACGTAATGTGGGATCTATCAGTGCACGCACCTCACTCTTCAGCATATCTTGCACAACACTAAAAATTGATATATCGCAACTGCCCCTTTCGTAAGCAAATTTCGCACTCGCTAACGCAACTGCAGTAGTTGATTAATAATTTTAAAAAAGTTATATACATATACATAAGAAAATGTTATTTAAATAACTTGCGTACGCACCAAAAAAAATTGTGCTTAGCAAAAACAAGCTGTAGAGTCTCATACTAAATTTAACTGCTGTTATTAACTGAACTTAAAATAACTGCTTTTAATTTATTTTGAGGATAAAAACTTGTAATTTAGTGTTAAAATTGAAAAATCGCCGAATCAAAGTCAAACCGAATTTTTTTAATTGAATTGAACTGCTTAAGCGCCAATCAACCGCTTCGTTGCAGGTTCTGAAACTAAATGCGGTAAATTCTAAACGTAAGCCTGGTTAAAGAATATGCAAAACAGCGACTATACAACTTTTTTATATCATTTTAGCGTTTACGATATTCTTTTCAAAATGAAATCTCCGCAGATGTAAGATACAGGGTGATTAATAGTAGCTATTAGTTTGGCATACTTAAAAATGGTAATTTTATACGTAAGGAATTATGCTTATAAAAAGTTGTTTATTAAATTGTTTCTATTACAAATGAAAATAAAAATGACCGTAAGCAATTTTATGAGTATTTAATTAATTGCCGATATGTGAGCAGCGTAATATATGAGAAATAACATATTTTTATATATATATATATATATATATATTGTAATACAAAATACAAGTAAAATTTAGTTAGTATTGTACTTCGAATTGCATTACACATATTTTTCAGATACTTTGATATAGATACATATAATACTGATTATAATAACTATATATTTTAACTATTTTATGCATTTTTTTATCAGTTATCGTTCAGTTTTATTCATCTCTATAATATCTTAGACTGCAGAGTGTAATTGTAAGGGACCCAGTTAAAGATATTCCTTTAGTTTATAGTGCTCCATAATTTGCCAAGTTCTTTATATTTTTCACAATCACGCTTTCTCCATTTTTGGGACGATTTATTTTTTGAGTTTATAAAACATCAATAATAACAAAGTTAAATAAAACTTTAAATGTATGTACTGAATAATTAAAATGGACAGAGCTTCCAAAAGGAGGTTTGAATAATCTGAAATATTACAAATATAATTTAAAATATCAAAAGTTGTTTTATTTGACTTTATTATTAACATTTTGTTATCTATTTTTTAAAATCGATTCACAAAAGGCGTTCTAATAACTGTAGTAATAAGAAATATAAAAAAGTATGCGAATTTTGTTATAATATATAAGTTTAATACGATTTAGAAATCAATAATTCGCCTAACAGTAGACAGAACAAATAAAATACCAGAACAACGTAGTGCGCATGTGTCTGTAGCAAGTTCTAATGTGACAAAAAAGCAAATATAAGAGTAAATCATTTATTCACAAATTTAAGTATTTAATTGTTAGGTTACTACATAATTAATAATTTTACTTATTTACAAATTCGTATAACATAAAGAAAGCTGGTATTCAAAATATTTTATTTCACTGTAGCAGTTAAAAGTTAGTCACATACGTTTAAAAATTATTAAAGGATTTTGATTACCCTATATTATTTCCCTATATTAAGCGCTATATCAGGCTTAATAGTAATATAGTATAAATAAATAAGTAGATACAATTTATTAAAGAAATTTTTGCGATGCGCATATATTTTTGCATTAAATAATTTTTTTTTATATATTAACAATTTTTCTTGAATAAATTATCAATAGTGTGTAAAAATGTTTTTTAATTGGGATTGAAATAGAGTATTAACGAAATATTCGAAACTATTATATGTATTTGCTCTTCCTGTCAGAAGATATATGTACTGTCGTAACCGTTTTCAATATGACATACTGTTTTTATCTTTTTATAATATATATGAGGGGGATGCGAAGTAGCTTTTCATCGTAGGCTTTTATAGAAATATTGTCTAAACTTTCTTTTAAGCATATAAGACTGTGCATACACCACAGATTTGGATCCAAATGGAACTACTTTGTTAGAGTACTTGATCAAAAACATCGTAACAGGCTATAATCTTATTTAATGGTTCTATGAATTTATAGCAAATAATTGTAGGTATATTTTGTACATTAAATCTTTCGAAATCTGGTTAATAATACAATAGCTGTTTGATCTATCCACAATTTATAGTTTCTGTTCTCCGGTCTGTTGCAGATATCTACTTCCTTCCTGTAATACAAAAGCTATCAAAATTGTTAATTTGTTAATCTGTTTAAAATCTTTAGAACATTATATTGCTTATACTCGTTTTATTGAATCAATGAACCGTCTATAAAATATGACTCGCTTAACACATTACTTACTCGTTTTAATTTTTAAACAACTTGAACCTAAAATTTTAGAGCTTTTTTTTTTTTAAATTTTAGCTTGTGGTTTTTTCTTTTTGTTTTAAAATTTAGTAATAATTTTAATCTTTATTAATCAGAACTAGTTTTTTCGTGGGTTTTTTGCGTCTCATAGTTGCTACATTAATTTTAACACTAGAATAAAATCTAGTTAGTTACTTATCAGTAACTTGCATTGATTTATTATAAAAATATAATAGAAATATATGTAGATTTCTAGTCTTTAATTCATGGGGTCGGTCATTGAGTCCTCCGTTAAATTAAAAATAAAAAATTTAGCTGGTATTTAAATACTGTTGTTATATTTGCTAATCTCGTAAGATCTAGTCATAAATCTGAAACTACTGACCTATGTCAACTTGAAATTGAAATTTTTATTGAGTGCAAATTTTATTGGTATTTCGTTCAGATTTTGTACAATAATATTTTGATTATGTGTTTAAATAAAAAATTACATTTTTCACATGTTTTGGTATATAGATTTTTCTGCTGATAAGCAGTATTTAAAAATATTAACATAAAAAACAGGGTGTGACAGTTTTTGAAAATCATTGTAAATTTTTTAATAAGTTAACTTAAAGTTCAACCTGACCGATAATATGTTCTATAGTGTATATCCAATATATCCAATAATACTATATCCAATTGTTTAATAGAATTTATAGCGATAAAAATTTTATTGTATAATTTTAAATGAAAATTATTCAATTCTACAATACATTTGCAAGTAAGGTATCATCAAATATCTTATTTTTCAAATTTATATTCTCCCAAAATATATTATTTTTTCATTCAAAAGTTATTCTAAAAAAATCAATGAAGTTTCCAAATAGAATAATATTTATTTGTTAATTATTAAATAACGAAAAAAATGTGCGTTGACTTTGCCGAAACGTTTTTACACAAATCATTATATTACAAATCAATTATTTCATGTAATACATTTTTAACGCAAAATATTAAAATATTTAAATTTGTTATTTGATGTAGAATAAAATGTTAATATGTATTTAATAACATATAAGTAAGTCTTTTCTGATAACTCTTTCAACGGTTAGCAAACTTACCAATACAGGTTACTAATAATATTAATAGTTTGAAAGTATTTTAAACTTATTTTTTATTTGTACATCAACAAATAATAATTTATACAAAAGTTTTTTTCTTAAAACTAATTAGTTTAATATATTAAAATATATGGCGATATTAAGATTTCCAGATTACGCTAACTCCAATAAAATTAATTGTTTTGAAATAGTAACTTCTCCTATTACACTATATACATACATAGATTATGTTAGAAGTAAACCACTCTCGTCATCTACCGGCAACTAGTGCTTATAATTTTTATTTTACATAAATTGGTTACACAAACTATGAGTAACATCTGACGCATTCAATCTAATTATGGTTTTTAAAGCACTAATTCACATTAAAATATTTAAAATTATTTTAACAATTCTCATCTACATTTTTTACATTCCCTTGGAAGTTATTATTCTTTAATTTTTGTTCTAATTTATTTATATAAATTCCTTTAACTTCTATGAGGAACATAAGGCCGCAAAAAAATTTTTCCATTCATTCGTTCAAAATAGCAGAAGGATTCTACGTCCTGAAGAAGGTAGTTTTTAATGATAAAAGGATCTTGAAGGTTTGTGTTGATGTGCATAAGAGTTCCGCTTTATGTGAATTAGTAACTAACGGCATAAGGCACAGGTTCACTGCATGGTCCAGATCATTTAAACTATCTTGGTTCTAATTTAGTATCAAACCAATAACTATTTAGTAATTTCAGTTATTATGAGTTATTGTTTTGGTTACATGGTAGATCATAGTTTTTATATATTAACATTTCTCCGTAGGCATTTAGAAGTTTGTTGCACCAAGTTAACTTCTTGCAAAAAGTTTCTATACATTTAGATTAGACAGTGATTATTTAAGGATATTTCTTGAATTCATCCTTAATAATGTGTTTGTTGTGTTTACAATCATTTTACAATACAATCTGACCTTAGAAACCTTACAGACTGTTTTAACCCATATTTGCTGTTAGAATATATCATTTTGAATATTTTTTTCGTTTTTTCCTGTTTACTATTCATCCATACTTCATAAATTACATCATTTGAAAGATTCCAATATTAAATATACTAATAATTTACTTGATTTTATTCAACAATATAGGCTTGCTCAGAATCTATAGCATCATTTTAACATTTCTTTGCCTTTCATGTAAATTTGTTCTCTTTGCCTTAAAATAGATTTCCATTGTAAATATGAATTTATGGTTGGAGAATAATCTCTTATCCTGAAATATTTTTCTTAAGTGAGATGCAGCACACGTTTGGGAAATACGGTGAATGAAAAAGAAACTTGATGTATAATTTAAGTAATTTTCTCATAGGTGCATTGTCTAAGTGAAACAGCTTTTTTTGCCATTTTAAGCATTTTTTCACGATATATTCCCTTTTTCCTATGCTAATGATTTTTACTTTGTTTATATAGTCCACAAATATTCTTTCGCAAATATCAAAAAATACGAACGCCAAAACTATAAAAATGATAATATGTGTTTCTGTTTACTTTCGATAAGGTTTATTAACTACTCTCTATTTAGCCGACTGTCTTTGTAATTTCAGTGTATTCTGATAGATTCGAATTTCATTTATTTCTATATATCGAAGCAAAAAAAGTTATTTATTTTCCTTAAACACCTCCAATCTTTTGTGATCCAGTACAACCATTTCGCATCTTCAAATATTAGATTCAAACAATATTAATATTTACATCGCTTTCTTTTATCTTTGAGGTGTTGATTACTTATATCGTTAAATATATCGTTTTAACGATTTTTAAAAGAATCAACACATTGGGACATCCAGAACGTTTAATGTCATCACGATAGTGTTTAATCAATACATAAAATTATTTTTCTGATCCAATAACTCTATAATTATAAAATAATTATACATTCTATAAGTAATGTTCCGAAAAGCTTAAATATTTATATATATCGTTT